TTCTTCTTGACATTGGATGCTAGAGCTTGGGTTTATGACCCAACTGTGGGTATTGGGATGTTTCTGCCTCAGAATCTTGGATCTTGGTGGATTCAGGCATAGGCCTAAGATCAAACAGATCTTCTTGGCAATGGTGGGAGATTTCAGGGTCCATGCTATGAGAGTGTCAGGGGTGTTGATGATCCTGGTGGCATCCTAGGTAATCTGTCAGGTTTTGTCTGTTTTGTTTTATCTATTTAATTTCACATTGAAAAATAATATGCATAGTAAAAACTACTAGTAATTCAGTAATAGTTTGCTTTTTTAAATAATAGTTTTATTGGGCTGGGGTTTTAACTCAGTGGTAGAGCACTTGTCTTGCATGTGTGAGGCACTGGGTTTGATCCTCAGCACCACATAAAAATAGATAAAGATATTATGTCCATTTACAACTAAAATTTTTTAAAATAATGGTTTTATTGAGTTATATAACTTACATACTGTATAATTCACCCATTTGAAATGTACAGTTATTTGGTTTTTAATCTGTTCACAGAATTGGGCAAGTATCATCAAATCAGTTTTAAAATACTTTTGTCCCCTCTCACTGATCAAACCCTCTGGCTGTCACTCCCGTCTCTTCTTACTTCCCCCCCACTAGCACCATGCAATACCAGTCTGCTTTCTGTTGATAGATGACAAACTTCTCCAACCAGAATTTAAAGATGCACTTTCCTTACCTGAAGGCAAGGTTCCTGCTTAAGTCTTATATTAATTCTTGTTGCAAAACAGATTACCTCCACATTTAGCATTTTGCTCTAAGTTTTGTTTTAAAAACAAAAACACATTTCCTTTATCATAGCTTTTTTGGGGCAGGAATTCAGGCATGGCTTAACGAGTCCTCTGTCTCAGGGTATCGCAAGAGACTGCAGTGTATTGGCCAGGGCTGCAGTCTCATTTGAAGGCTCACTGCGGGAGGGATCTGCTTCCAAGATCACTCACATTGTTGTAGGCAGGATCTGGTTCCTTGTGACTAAGAGACTGAGGGACTCATGTCATAGTTTAGATATGAGGTGTCCCCCAAAAGCTCATGTGTGAGACAATGCATGAAGGTTCAGAGGTGAAATGATTAGATGATGAGAGTTATAACCCAATCCCCTGATAGGTATTATCTGGTGGTAATGGTAGGCAGGTAGGGTGTGGGTGTGATTTTGGAGTATATATTTTGTCATGTCCTGAGCTGATTTTCTCTACCACACATTTCTGCCACGATATTCTACCTCACCTTGGGCCCATAGCAACAGAGTCAGCCTTCTATGAACTGAGACCTCTGAAACCATGAGCCCCAAGTAAACTTTTCTTCCTCTGAAATAGTTCTTGTCAGGTCTTTGGGTAACAGCAGCAAAAAAGCTGACTGAAACACCTCATTTCCTTGCTGGTGATTGGTTGGAGGAACCCCCAATTTCTTGCTGTGTGGGCCTTGCTTCATCACAAACAGCTTGAGAGAATCTGCTAGCAAGTGTTTTGTAACCTAATCATGGAACTGGCATTCGCTCAATGTCGCTATATTCCTTTGGTAAGAAGCAGGTTACTTACAGGGAGGAGATAGCACAAGGCCAGGAGGTGGAAAATGGTAGGGCTATGTTGGAGGCTGCAGGCAAAGGTCTGTCCTGCAGACCTCCCTGGAGTTCTCCAGGCTACTCGACATCTTTTTAATGCATTTCTTTTTTCTTTTTTTTTGTGTGTGTGTGTTTGAGCTAACCACAGTCTGTAACTCGTTTGCATCCAGGACACTATACTTGTTTGTTGGTGTTTGGTCATCTTGTGATTCTGGTTTTTATTGACCTTTCTGTTAAAGGCATAGCTAGTTGGTAAAGGGTTCAGTGTTGCTCATTACACCTTTTTTGTTTTCAAAGTTATCAATTCTGTGTCAATTTTATCACCTCAGAGCCAGCTGGCCAGCACCTACCAGAAATTTTGTTTGAATATTAATTGACATAAAGACCACAGAAGAGAAGAACAGAGACTTGGCCCCATCAAAACAGGAATACTGAGTCCTGTAAAGGGACAGTTTATAAATCCTCAGATCAGCTTGGGGTTTTTGTGGTTTATCCTCATTTGAATCATGATCAGAGGGTTGCTTTCCTCCCAAGAGTGTTTGTAGGATTTAAGCCTCAGAAATCCAAACTAGTTTAAATAAGAAAAAAGGATTTGTGGACTATCGTAGCTCAGAAATATACTAGGGAGGCCCATAGGATCAAATAGGGACTGCAGAGCTCCTGAGCCTTCAATCAGTAGCTCAAGGCCAATAGTTCTCCCTCTGGCTCTCATGGATACCTCTGTCATCTTTGCGTCTTCCCTTCTTGGCCTCATTCTTTATTAATGCAAACAGCATATCTTATCTTGTGATATGTGTCCTTGGTTAACCCTGGATTGGGCTTTGAACCAGAAGAAAGAGAAATGTTGGGTCAAATGTTTATTCTCATTATCAGGAAGATAGGGTACTGTTCCAGGTCAGGCCTGGATTTCATGAAGGACCATGGAAAACCAACATCCACTACTGCCCAGTTCAGTCCTTAGTTTGAGTTCTTTGTTAGTGTTTTGGGCATGGACACACCATTCATGTACATAACTCCTAAATTTTTGGAGTTTCCCAAAAGGACAAGACAAAGCCACAGTCTGTGGTAGTGGTCTGACTGGGAAATGTAGGTTGGAGTGATTCATTTGGGGGCCGTGCTTTTCATAAAGTCTTCAAATTAATTTGATTGCATCTAAGGTCCAGTGTCAGCCCACTGGCAAAATAGAGTCACATTAAATTTTTCCATTCTAGATTTTACTTGTCTCCTAACTACTTGACAGCTGAAAAAAGTTATTAGTAGAGACATGAAGGCCATGGATAACATGGAAAATAACTATCCATTTCATAGACTCCTGACTAAGGTTAAATTATAATAACAAAGATCAGAGCTTTTTATTTGCTGCACTTTCTGTGATTTGTGGGCATATTGTTGTTTGTTTTTTGCTTTTTAACCTTTCAGGTAAGGAATGATTTGTGACGTTCATGAAAACAACGTATATTCAGGGACTCATTCGTCTCAGGGCTAAGACTAAATCTTGTTTTCAGAACCATATAAATATAGACTGAGAACAAGATCTGTCAAACACTTAACTTTTGGAAGATGTAATATTGGGCTCCTGTTAAATATGTATATTGATATATTTGTGTATATTGATCTAAGTTGCCGTAGAATTCTTCCAGAGAAGTGCTATGGTGGGCTCCCTACATAAGCATCTTGGCCTGGGACTGTTTACAGCTGCTCACACAGGTCAAGGCTTTTTTTTTTTTTTTTTTTTTTTTAATTTGGCAAATCACAGCTCATGGCTAACAGCCTGACACTTTCTCTCTGGCAGTTCTTTATGGAGGGCCCTGGCTATGTTAAGTGCTTGAAGGAATTTTGTAAAGCCCACATTCCTATGGTCTGGGTTAGGACTCTTCCTCCAATAAGGAAGCAGCTCACTTTTACATTAGATTGAGATCCAATATCCAAGATGACAGTAGGGGGTGGGGAAGAGAAGATAAAACTTACTTGATGTCTCCTGGAGGCAAAGACTAGTATAGTGGTCAGGAACTCCCATTTTACAAACCCCACAGAGTTGTAAGATAATCAAGTAAAATATTTAGCATTATGTGGGCACATTGCTTTGCCACTACTATAGTAGTCATCATTTTTGGGTCCCTGTGCTTCTATTTTCTACCATGGACTTATTCCACTCCCAGGCCTCCAGGCAAAGAGCAAACCATGACTATCACCACCTCCACCACCATCGCCACTACCACCTTTATCTCCACCACCTACACCTACACCTCCACCACCACCATCACTACATCCTCTACCATCACCACTATCACATTGACCACCACCACCTCCATCACCACTACATTTATCACCAATGCCATCTCCACCACCACCTCCACCACCATCACCACTATCACTCTACCTTTATCACCAACACATCCACCACCATCACCACTACCACTCCTACCTCCAAAAATACCACTACCTCCCCCTCCATCACCATTAGGATCATCACCACCATCACCATTATGACCATCTTCACCACCACCTCCACCACCATTGCCACTACCATCTCTAACTTCACCACCAACCACCTCCACCTCCATCACCATCACCACCATCACCAACAGTAGCAGTGGTGGTATGGGGGTCTCTGGTCAGAGGCATGGGAACAAGACTGACTTGAGTTGAGATGTAGAACTTGCCAGTCAACTTCTTAGAGATGCTGCTCCTCAACTATAAAATGAATGCAACAACACTTGTGATGAGTGTGAGAGATGGACATATGTTTAAGTGTGTGACACTCAGAAAGCCCCACTGTAGAAAAATGTCCCCAGCTGGCCATCTTCCTATCTCAGGCCCTCATGATGATATAAGTGAGGATTTCTAGAAGACAAGTCTTGCTGTTCCTCTGGTCAGCCTTATCCCTATTCTCACTGGCCTTGAGTCAGACTTCATTGCTCTTAAGTCTGGCCCAATTTCCTTCAAACCAATGCCCGTGGTCCCATGATAATAGGCACAGCCACTCAGAAGTATACTGTTCACGTAACACTCACCCTGGCATGGGAGCCAATGAGGAGGCAGAACAGAGATCAATCTCACTGCAGAAGTGAGGGCAGGCCTAGGTCACATATGCCTGTTCATATGTTTGTGACTTTGCATCAAGGTCAGCGAGAAACAATAGCAAATTAAAGATTTGTTTGATATAGAGGGGGAAATGACACTTAAAACCTCCTGAACTCAGGTTGAAATTTCTCTCTGCTTCTGTCTGGTACTGGAAAGCTACCAATCAATAAAAAGACTTCTCAAGTTACTAATTCTTCACGTTGCAGATTCTTCCTCTGATGTCATTTCACATGGGTTGCTACTCGGGAAGGGAAGACACATGGGGATATTGAAGGGCTCAGTGACAATTATTGACATTCTCTGTTCTATGTCTTACAGCCTACTTCTGCTTCCTCCTGACTGCTCTGGGTGTGACAGCTGGTGCCCATCGCTTGTGGAGCCACAGGTCCTACAAGGCCAAGCTGCCCCTGAGGATATTTTTGGCTGCTGCCAACTCCATGGCTTTCCAGGTGGGAAAGGAGGGTTTCTGCTGAGGGGACCCAGTGCAGAAGGCAGTGTGGGAGGAAGAGAGAGGTGGGCTGACACTCTCCACCCTGGTCCTAGTCAGTGCTCAGGCCCCAAGCACTCTCTGTCCCCATTTTTTTCTAGCATTTATGCTAGAAACATGCCCTGAAGCCCTCAACATTTGTCCAGCTCTAACCAGGGGCCAAGTTCTGTGCTAAGCATGCGCTATGTATATCACATTTGATCCTCACAAGAGCCTCATGAGCCAGATGAGGAAATAGAAGTTTAATGAAGTTAGAAAACTCGCCCAAGTTATAGGGCTAAAATCCAAGGTGGGCAAATGCAGATCAATCTGACTCCATAGTCATTGTTCTTACAAATCAGTGTCCTGAGCTTACCCTACAAGGCCTTGGTGGAAAGGCTTTTTGACCCCGTGTTGGAAGACTCAGGGATTCTGCTCTGATGGTTGCTGGCTGGGAATCACTCCTCATCTCCACTTTATTCATTTGTAAAAGAGTATGATTTCATTTGCAGGGTTGTTATGTAATCATTGAAAATTCCAGGGACCTATCACAGTGTAAGAGGTCACCAGTGCACCAGGATTTGGCCCTATCCTTTAGGACAATTTCAGTCCTAGACCATTTCCCACCACCTTGGGCACTTTCTGAGCTGCTGGGATTTTTATTTGATCACAGATTTCCCCCCACTGCCCCTAATTCTTCACCTATTAATTAGGCAGCACAGATAGGAACAACTTGTTTCAAAGTTTCTGCCCATATATGTGTGCAGATCAATCTAGGCTCTGTTTATTTCCACCATTAGGAAGGAATGGTGATTCCTGAAGCTGCCTTTGGTTCTGGGGAAACCGGCACCCTCACAGCTGGCATGTCCACCTGCTTCCCTAGAAGAGAGTCTGACCCTGAGCGTTTCTCTTGTGGCTATGAATTCATGTCCCTAGCTTTAGGATTCCCTCCACAGTTTCAGCTTTCCCAGAGCAAACAGGACTTAACACAGTAGATCAGTTTGGGGAACACAGTTGGTGATATGGATATGTACTGGTTAGAGAATTCAGGCACAGTCAGAAATTAGTCCAGGGTCCTAGGAAAGACCCTACTACACACAAAGGAGAGCTTGACTACTTCTTGGTTCCATGTTCTTGGTTCCATGTTGGCAAAGGGAACTATGCTGCACTTTATTTTGAGTTTAACCATGTTCTTATTTCAATGTTGTATTCTGTTTATCATCACTTAGAAACTCATTGACTTAGTTCTGTGATGCCATTCAGGGCTGAACTCAATATTTTCATTTATTTTGTTCAAGCAGTTTATTATTTTTAACCTCCAGTTGCACATTCAAGTAGTTATAAAACATCCCTATTCTTGGATTTTTTTTCCAAGATAAATAACTCGTGACTGAGAGCCTAAAACTCTGATTCTTATTTTCCCAATGAAATTATTTGTTTGTAACTCAATATTTTAAAACCAAATTGTCCTTAACAAAACATCACATAACAGAATGTCGGGCTGTGATTTTAACTTACTTGGGGAAGAAAATACATGGTAGGGAAGTACCAAGATCCTTGGCTCTACTGTTTGCTAGATGTGCTGTTTAGTCTGCTTTTATGCAAATCCCAGTTTCTTTGTCTGCAAAGGGAGCATAATAATAATTGATAGGAGGATGAAATTATTGGGGGGAAAAAGCATTAAGCTTCTAATAGCATTCTATTAGTATTATTCTTCCTCTTGTGTTTTATGAGAATCCACATACTATCTCATTTCTATATTCTGGTAGCTATCATATAGAAAATGTTCACTAATTGTTAAATAAATTTAAAAAATGAATAGCTTTGAAAAGCATTTTTAGAAATCATATTCGAGGTGGACGGCAGCAGAGCTCTCCGCTAGACTGTTTGATTGTGGCACCTCCAGGCCTGCCGCCATGGGAGTGACTTGTGTGTCCCAGATGCCTGTGGCTGAGGGCAAGAGTGTGCAGCAGACAGTGGAGCTCCTCACCCGAAAATTGGAGACACTTGGGGCAGAGAAGCAAGGAACATTTTGTGTGGACTGTGAGACTTACCACACTGCCGCCTCTACCCTTGGCAGCCAAGGTGTAAATGGACACAATACCTTTCCTTTATTGCTTGATTGATTGATTGATTGGCTTTTGACCAAGGCATTTATATTTCCCAAAGTACACCCTCAGTTTACAGAGTCCCACATTTAAATTAGAAATCCTCGCATCTTCCATTCCCAAGGTCAGGCCGGGAAGCTGATGTATGTGATGCACAACTCCGAGTATCCACTGAGCTGTTTTGCCCTCTTTGAGAATGGCCCTTGCCTTATTGCTGACACCAACTTTGATGTGCTCATGGTGAAGCTTAAGGGTTTTTTCCAGAGTGCCAAGGCCAGCAAGATTGAGACCTGGGGCACCCGTTACCAGTACTGTGACTTCCTGGTGAAGGTGGGCACAGTCACAATGGGGCCCAGTGCCTGGGGCATCTCTGTGGAGGTGGAATATGGCCCCTGTGTGGTGGCTAGTGACTGCTGGAACCTGCTCCTCGAGTTCCTCCAGAGCTTTCTAGGCAGCCACACACCAGGGGCTCCTTCAGTGTTTGGAAACAGACATGATGTGGTCTATGGCCCCACAGATACCATGGTCCAGTACATGGAACTCTTCAACAAGATCCGCAAGCAGCAGCAGGTGCCGGTGGCAGGAATTCGTTAGTGACTGGCTATTGCTGGCTGAGTTGTCACCATGTGTACTGCACAGCAGGAGCAAGGGCTGTATTCTCAGGGATCTGGAACCTAGAAACCCAGGGCAGACATGGAAGCTTCTCTCCCTCTGGTTCCCAGCTGTGGTTTTTGTCTGGGGCTCTGAACTCCCCTCCCTTGACCCCCATATGCAGCCCTCAACAGCTGTCTTACCCAATGCCTTGCTGGATTTGTTCTGTCCTCAAGAATGGTAATTATGAAGAATGGAGAAGTTTGGACCTTTCCTGCTATAGGGGAAAAGGTAGGACAGGGTGTCCTTGCCTAGTGTTGGAGGGAAAAACAATGTGTACCTTCAGCTGTTGAGGATTTGACCTTGGCCCAAGTGGCCATGCTGTGCTTCATGTTGGGCTGTGCTGTCCTGAAACCCCCTCCTCTGCTCTAGTGGAGGGACAGCACAGCTGGTAGGATGGCTCTCATTTTTTGACCTGTTCATGGAAGTGACTTGTGACATGGCTTTCCTAGGGCATTGCCTGGGTTCTTTGAACTCTCCTCTTACATCTTTCCCTTCCTTTGTGGATTACATGATGCAACAGAATTCACTACTGTGCAGAACCAGAAGGATGGGTTCTTACGAGATAAACCTATTTTTCTATTATCTAATAGTTTCAGAGATAATCAGGTGGTTGGGCAGATCTAACTCTACAAAGTCACCAGGAACTCTTGTTTCCTTATGTCTTATTTTTCAGCCACCCCCAGAATATTATCCTTAAGCAAACTCACTGGCCCCATGTCCACTGGAAGGATGGGGAAGGATGAAGAGAAAAGCAGTTTCTTTTTTAAAGGTTATGGTCTGGAATTGTTCAGATTACTGTGGCTACACTTTGCTAAAAGGGCTGCTAGGATATAGAGCCTTTTATCTGGGCAGTCGTAGCCCAGTTACAGCTCAGAGGGTTCTGTGACTAAAAGGTGAAGGGGATAGGGATGATGGGACCCGTTTAGTGGTTTCTGCTACGTGAAGCTCAATGAACATGTCAGGAATGCTCTTGGCAGCTATTTCTTGATTATTACGCCCTGTAACAAAGGCATCTGCCTATGAGTTGGATTGGAGTAATGACTGATCCCATAGCCTCTTGGGGTTTATTGGAAGTTAGCTGTGCACCTCTCCAGCACTCAGAGATTAGTATTGACCATGATATTTGAAGCATGCTTCACGGTTCCCTGAAGTCTTTGTACTTGCCTCATTTCAGCCCCAAGCTGCTCATTTGACTTAAACTGCTTGCCTACCCAACTCCTGCTAGAGAAATATTCAGCCAGGCTGGGCATGCTGACACATGTCTATTATCTCGGCAGCTTGAGAGGCTGAGGCAGGAAGATTGCAAGTTTGAGGCTAGTGAAACTCTGTCTTAAAAAATAAAAAAGGACTGGGATAGTAGCTTATTGATAAAGTACCTCTGGGATTGATTTCTAGTATCATAGGAAAAAAAAAAAAGCTCAACCAGGCTACTTTGTGATACATAGATCTGGTCTTAGGAAAACTGTTAATATATGCACTATATAGGTTGTCACAAGGATTCTGTCCCTCCCTGAAGGCACTAAAGAAAAACTTTTTCTATGGTACATTTCCACAATAGGAATCAGGTTACCAGTCCTGTTTCCTTGTAGTTTTGACTGACAGGAAGCTCAGTTCAGCTTTCTAGCTATAGGGTTGTCATTTATATTTTTTGTATCACTTCCTGTTTTTGTTGTTGTCCCCATTGATTTTTTTTTTTTTTTTGCTTTTAAAATTTTAAGGTATGTTTTAGGTATAATTTTCATGCAATAAAATGTATAGATTTTATGTTTTTGGCTTTCTGGTTTATATTTGCTTTTGTCTGGATCTATTTGTAATTTTCTGTAGCTGCCTCAACTCTCGTATGAAATGAGACAATGTACAGGAGGATTTTGAATGCAGTGTGTTCCTGAGAATACAGAAGTTGAATGTGAGAAATGTGGACCCTACACATGCTGTATAAGAAGGGGCTTGGTTCCCTGAAGCTAAAAAATAGAATAAAATCCCTTCTTATACTTAAAAAAAAAAAAGAAATCATATTCGGCTATGCACACTTCCTTCAAGACCCACATTTGTGGTGATTTTTTTATTCATTCAACAAATATTTATTAAGCACTTAGTATAGGCACTGGGTCTAACAATGAATATCACTCAAAATCCTTGCCCTCAAGGGGGCTTTTTCATCTAGTGGGATATTAGAATTCCCAGAATATCTCAGTGGAAATTTCAGTGCTTCATGGGTCTGGTTTTACATGACAATGTCACTAAACAAAGGGTGTTAAGGTAAGCGTAGGGCTGGCTTCCATAACTATGTATATTGGTATCAGTGGGAAAGAACAGTCAGTCTAGATCATTTAATCTCCAGAGGAGAACAACCTGGAAGAGTGAAAAAATATGTGGTGATCTGCCCATGTAGGGTATTGACCCCCAACCCCAACTTAATGCAGCCATTGACTTAGTTCCCCTTGATGTTCCCCTGGATTTTTAAAGTGTCTCAAAGGTTCCCCCTCCACTTTCCCTCCATCAGAATGTCCATATCTTCGGCCAAAATGGACAAGGCATGCCATAGTTATCTCTTAGGCTAGATACTGCACACAAGATCCTGATCATTAAGAACAATCTTAAAATTAAAGCTCTCTTTTCTGTTTCTTCTGTAGAGAAGATATGCATCAGTCAGGAAAAGTGGGGGCACTTTTAGTTTGAAAAGATGACGATGGAACAGGATTTCTGACAGGAACTGTAAAAACCCTCTAGCCCCTTTACTCCCTTGTTATTCTGCAACAACCCCCTGAGTTCTGGCCTGACCTCCTCCCTTTTTAATAAGATGCAAGTCAACCTAAAGATGGCTTGCAATTTCCTTATAATTTTGTCCTAGTCAGTTGTGGACCAAGGTGAGGGATTCCTGCTGTTCAGTGGTCTCCAGTTTCCAGGAACAGTCATCAGGACTGGTTTTGTGCTCTTGTGTTTGCACACCCACATCTGCTGGCTGCACTGACTCTCTTGTGAACCCAGTCCAATTAAAAGCACCTGCTAGATGCTTCATCCTCCTCAACGATGGCCCATTTCCTCATTGGGTCATGAGACATAAGATTTAAAGATGGAAGTAACCTTAGGGAATTCAGTCTAAATCCTCTTATCTTTTCAAAGAGGTGAACATGTAACTCAGAGAACATTAGTGACTTGTCAGTGGTGGATAGACTCAGACAGAAACTCAGGTCTCCTGAGCTTCCGGCTGGGGATCTTTTGGCTTACACATGGAAGTTCCTATGTGGTGTCCTACAGTGTGATTTGCACACAGCATATGGTTGGTCAGTTTTTTTTTAATCCACTCTGAATAGCCTCGTCTTTTTGGTGGGTGGGTATGATCCCAGGCCCTGATGCATACTAAGCACATGCTCATTTGTGGAGCTACATCCCCAGCCCAAGTCTCTATCTTCTAACTTAGACCATCACATTTAAAGTGACTACTGATACAGTTGGATTAATATCTACTATGTTCCTGTCTTCTATTTATTACCCTTGTTCTCATTTCCTATTTCTGTCTTCTGTTCTTTTTCTGTCCTTTGTGATTTTTACTGATTCTATTTTCTCTCTTCTCTTAGCATATCAATGACACTTTAAAAAAAATTAGTGGTTTCCTAGAATTTGCAATGTACATTTACAATTAATCCTAGTACACTTTCAAGTCATACTGTACCATAGAGCACTTAGCATGCTTGAGGCCCTGGGTTCAATCACCAGCACCTCAAAAAAAAATACTATACCACTTTGCAGTGTTGCAAATACCCAATTCATTTCTCCCTCCTGACCCTTATGACATTGTTGCCATTCATTTTTATTTATTCTAGGCTAAAATCACCAGATGCGTTGTTGCTAGTATTATTTTTGAGCAAACTGTTATGTTTTAGACCAGTTAAGAATTAAAAATATGTCTTTATTTTATCTTCATTTGTCCCCTGATGCTCTTTCTTTATGTTGGCCTGATTTTCTGACCTAAGTCCTTTTCCTTCTGTTACCTTCATTGTCTTTGGTTTTCCTAGAAACTTCTTCTTAGGCTTTCAATTCTTTCCATTGCAACCTCTGGTAATGACCCCTAATGATGTGGTAATAACGTGGAGGAAAGGGAAGCATTCTATAAAGATCTGGAACATCCCGTACAAGCCCATGAGCCCTAGCCTGGCACTGCTGGCAGGTAGTAGAACCTTTAGAAATTGAGACCTAGTGGAAGAAGTTAGGCCATTGGGCATGTGACCTTGAAAGAAATATTAGGACCCTGGCCCCTCATCTCATTTTTTCTTCCTGGTTGCCATGAGGTGAACAGGCCTCCTCTGCCACATGCCCTGCCATGATGCAATGTACTGCCATGGTCCCAAAGCATCAGAGACAATGTCCATGGATGGGAGGCTCTGAAACAGAGAGTCAAAATAAACATCTTCCCCTTATTACATTGATTCTCTCAAGTATTTTGTCACTGTCACAGAATGATGATTAACACAGGAAGCAGTCTATGATTAGGTCTCAGTCTTTTAGTGTTCCTGAGTTGGGTATTTTCCTTCCCCTAGAGTAGTTAGGCTTTGGTAAGACTCTAGTTGGTTAGGCTCTGGTGAAGTAGTTTCTCTGAGTACAGGCCTTGTTAGGGAGAATGAAGAGTTCTGGCCATAATTCAAAATGTTTGGTTTTCTCCTCCTCCTGCAGGAAACCCAGGGACATTTTTCAGAAATCATAGTGAGAACAATTCATGGTAGGGTTGGGGTCCCCCTAGGACTGGGCACCCTCAGGAGTTTTAGCTCTTAGGTTGACCACAATGAGCCTCCAGCAATCTATCAGTTATGGTTTCAAGTGCTCCAACCTGTACTGGCTCTAGTTCTGGGCTTTGCTCCTGGGTGTCTGCTCCCCTGATCCTCTGTGCTGCCTCTGTCTAGTTTAGGGGGCAGCCATATGTCTTATGAGCTTGATCTCCAATAGACGTAAGAAGAGTTGTCAGCTTTCAGTTTGTCCAGCTTTTATCTCACTGTGAATGTGGAGAGAATGGCTTAGCTTGTTCTGTTAGGGTTACAGTGTGATTTGTGAATGGAACAAACTTTACACATAAATATGTTAAGTGAATCATGAAACCATGGGTCATAGACTTTGGCAAGAATATAATAATTACAACAAGAATAACAACAGAATAGAGTAAGATGATTATTGAATGCTAACCACATACCAGCACTTCATCAGGTACTTTTATATAGTCATCTGCTAACATGCTACAAATTAGGTTTTCCTCATTTGATAGGTGAGAAAACAGAAAGAAAAGATGCTATGTGACCTGTCTAAGGATATATGGGTTTAAGTGACAGAGAGGGCTTCCAATGTAGGTGGCATACTCCAGAGGCCACCTGTTTCCTGGCCTGCCCTAATGCTTCTCAGAGCATCTGAATATATATTTATCCAGGCACTGGAGAATGAGACAGACAAGGTCCCTGTCCTCAGGATGTGCGTGTTACAGAGGGAGAAAGAGCAAATGAACACAAGCAAAGGAATAAACAAATATGCCCAGAGCAAGAAGAAGGCTATCAAGAGCTCAAATGCAGCTCTATGATAAACAGCACCAGGGAGGTGGTGCTCTAAGAAATTAGAGAATGTATTTTCAGTCACCTTTTTCTTTTTTTTTTTAATTTTTTATTGTTGGCTGTTCAAAACATTACATAGTTCTTGATATATCATATTTCACACTTTGATTCAAGTGGGTTATGAGCTCCCATTTTTACCCCATATACAGATTGCAGAATTATATCAGTTACACATCCATTGATTTACATATTGCCATACTAGTGTCTGTTGTGTTCTGCTGCCTTTCCTATCCTCTACTATCCCCCCTCCCCTCCCCTCCCCTCCCCTTTTCTCTCTCTGCCCCCTCTACTGGCATTCATTTGTCCCCCTTGTATTATTTTTCCCTTTCCCCTCACTTCCTCTTGTATGTACTTTTGTATAACTCTGAGGGTCTCCTTCCATTTCCATGCAATTTCCCTTCTCTCTCCCTTTCCCTCCCACCTCACATCCCTGTTTAATGTTAATCTTCTTCTCATGCTCTTTGACCCTACTCTGTTCTTAGTTACTCTCCTTATATCAAAGAAGACATTTGGCATTTGTTTTTTAGGGATTGGCTAGCTTCACTTAGCATAATCTGCTCTAATGCCATCCATTTCCCTGTAAATTCTATGATTTTGTCATTTTTTAATGCAGAGTAATACTCCATTGTGTATAAATGCCACATTTTTTTTATCCATTCATCTATTGAAGGGCATCTAGGTTGGTTCCACAGTCTTGCTATTGTGAATTGTGCTGCTATGAACATCGATGTAGCAGTGTCCCTGTAGCATGCTCTTTTTAGGTCTTTAGGGAATAGACCGAGAAGGGGAATAGCTGGGTCAAATGGTGGCTCCATTCCCAGCTTTCCAAGAAATCTCCATACTGCTTTCCAAATTGCCTGCACCAATTTGCAGTCCCACCAGCAATGTACAAGTGTACCCTTTTCCCCACATCCTCGCCAGCACTTGTTGTTGTTTGACTTCATAATGGCTGCCAATCTTACTGGAGTGAGATGGTATCTTAGGGTGGTTTTGATTTGCATTTCTCTGACTGCTAGAGATGGTGAGCATTTTTTCATGTACTTGTTGATTGATTGTATGTCCTCTTCTGAGAAGTGTCTGTTCAGGTCCTTGGCCCATTTGTTGATTGGGTTGTTTGTTCTCTTATTGTCTAATTTTTTGAGTTCTTTGTATACTCTGGATATTAGGGCTCTATCTGAAGTGTGAGGAGTAAAGATTTGTTCCCAGGATGTAGGCTCTCTATTTACCTCTCTTATTGTTTCTTTTGCTGAGAAAAAACTTTTTAGTTTGAGTAAGTCCCATTTGTTGATTCTAGTTATTAACTTTTGTGCTATGGGTGTCCTATTGAGGAATTTGGAGCCCGACCCCACAGTATGTAGATCGTAGCCAACTTTTTCTTCTATCAGAAGGCGTGTCTCTGATTTGATATCAAGCTCCTTGATCCATTTTGAATTAACTTTTGTGCATGGCGAGAGAAAGGGATTCAGTTTCATTTTGTTGCATATGGATTTCCAGTTTTCCCAGCACCATTTGTTGAAGATGCTATCCTTCCTCCATTGCATGCTTTTAGCCCCTTTATCAAATATAAGGTAGTTGTAGTTTTGTGGATTGGTTTCTGTGTCCTCTATTCTGTACCATTGGTCCACCTGCCTGTTTTGGTACCAGTACCATGCTGTTTTTGTTACTATTGCTCTGTAGTATACTTTGAAGTCAGGTATCGCTATACCGCCTGATTCACACTTCCTGCTTAGCATTGTTT